TATTTTCCTAACAGTAAATATAAAAATCTATTGATTGTTAGCTTGACACGTGAAAGCAAACTTTAGCAGTATCTCTGAAACTGACAATGGAAAAATAGCAAAGGTGCATTTGTGCCACAATTAGGTTTCACCCTGAGGTCATGCCATCAACAATTTAAAAATGTGTTCAAGATCATCATTCTTATATTCTCTATGGTGACCTGGGCTTACCTCTGACAGGTTGAGAAATCAACAATCAGAATTTACTGTACTTACAGCTAAACAAAATTAGATATAGGAGTGTAGAACATACACTAGTTTACAACATAATATTATTCAGTTTCTGCAGTTTGAATGGCTTAATGCTAAAATTAGTATACATCATTTAATGGAATGCAGCACATTACACTATGTGGACAACACCACCTCAATGGATTAAATACCATTGTGGATAAAAGTAGGTAAAAGAAAGTAATTGAACTACAGGTTTTGAGAGCAATGATGTTGTGGATTATTTATTGCATGTGGAAAGAAGTTTATACTAAATACTCGGTAAATCAAACATAATGGCAAAGAACAAGCCACTGTATGATACACATCCCTTAAGCACAAATAAGCAGGTGCATTTAACAATCCAGTTTTTTTAAACATATACAGCAACACTTCACCTTTTTCATGATCTGAAAAAGAAATTCTCAATTGCTGAAAGACTGACACGCCACCCAAAGGATATACTGTAAAGACCAATAACTATATATTTTTCTCACAAAATATACAGTCATTGCACTTTACAGTATATCCTGAGAAGCACTTTGAGACATTCCCACTCCAACTCTATATCAATGTATGATATTTCTGTATCAAATTAGTATCGAAAGGCTCTTTATCAAATTAAGTATTATTATTACATGCACCAGGCTACACACAAGCACAGAATCAAGATATTTTGTTCACAATTGCAAGTTTGATTTAATACAAACGCCACATTACTATTTCCACTATCATTTGAAACACTGAAAATATCCATATGTTGTACATTTAAAGAATGAATGTCTCTGGGTACATTCTAGGACACTACTGACGACAGACCATCCAGCTTGGCTTCTGAGCAGAACATGCAGAAACAAACCTGCCTCTAGGGACTGGGATTCTTCTGGTTCAACTCTCATTAACCCTGTAAGCCAAGCAGGTATGGTGGTCCAAGTGAGACCAGCAGCAGAAAGCTTGCCAGGGTTCACAAATGTGCACTCTGGGATCCTGAAGCTTTGACTCTTATCAACTTATGTGTGTGTGTGTGTGCGTGTGCACGTGTGCGTCTGTGTACAGTGCAAGTTGGTATGCCAGTTCAAGAATGTTAACTTATTGTTTCAAAAAAGAAATTGCATCTCCCATGAAGGTTTCTATGGGTGTGCTCCATTTAACAGAGCAGAGCTTTACAAATGGAAACATATAAATGCTTCAGGGAGTGCCTCTATGCATTCAATGAAAAAGTGAAAATAGGATCACTGCTGTGTAATGAAAAATACAGGTTACATAATTCCACATGTGCACTAACACTGCAGAACTAGCACAGTGGCCATAACATTTGGAGGAGAAAAAGGAGCATTAAAAATCTACAGCAGAACCTGGATTTCTTCCCCATAATCTTCATGGGCATTTAAAGTTTACCGTTATCAGTAAAATGGTCCCAAAATAGGTTTATCGCCATATCCAACAGATTTTTCTGCTCAGCAATCATCTCTCAACCTAGTGGTGATCGTCAGGCTGCTAGCAAGGACTTCAGATAGGAACACATAGACATCCCACCCAGTCTTTGGTCAGTACTCAATCTCATCAGCAAATCAATTCATAGATTTTGCCCAGAAAATCTCAAACTGACAAATATGGATACCTCAAGTCTTAGCTTAATGGTAAATTTGCACTGTTGACTTAAAGTTACGCTTTCACAGAATTGCAATCAAACTGTGAATGATTCAAAGGAATATCCTCATAAATGTTTTACGGTACTGTACGTATGCCACATATTGCAGTGCACAATATCTGTTCCCCATTCCGTTCAAGTGCATGAACAATGAATCAAAATCTCTTTGGGAAATTCATTGTTGCGGGTTGTCAGGTCCCACAAGATTTACCAGCTGCCATCTCTTATTTAAGTTGTGTTTTTATTTTATACTTTGGTGTTAATTTTAGCATTACAGCAAAGCTAACCTGATGTATGAATTAAGACTTTTTCAGCATCACAAAGTGCAAAATGAAGACACGGAGATCAACCAGACCACAATGTCAAAGATTTCAATCTAAACTGAAAATGCACAACATGAGCGCAACTAATTCCCTCCTATCCATGTAAAAACATTGTAAGGATTAAACAATATATATTTATAACGAGATTTAACATTACAGATATATATTGTTATAAAGCAAAAGCAAATTCTACCACTTGTAATTTACACCATGGAAAAGTTCTTGGTTGAGGAATGCTGTATTTCTTTTTTAATCTTTCGCTTCATTTTATCAAATCTGGTAATGCATAGCTCATACACTTCATACTTTAAGGCAGGTCTCAAGATCCTTCTCTTCGATCGTGCCTTTGGTCGCCCTCCCACCTCTCTGCCTTCCCTCACCCCTAAACCACTCCTAAATCCTATGCTTGGGCCCCAACACCTGACTGTTCAGTGCTTTGGGACGTCCTCCCGACATGAAAAGCGCTCTATAAATGTAATTTTGTTGTTGCTGTAGTGCCTCATCACATCTTCTAGATGTCTCAAACCGCTTCACAGAATATACCTCAAAGTTTATTTATTGTATATTTTGTGGGTGAAATGCAGCAGCCAATCGTACACAGCAGTGTCCCACAAACAGTCATGGATTGAGTGACCATGTTACTATTTTTTTTAAACAAGGGATTTTTACCCCCGGAAACGCCATCTGCCAATTGACAAACAACCTTACTGCTAGTTAAACATGTGGAGTAAAGAAACTTGCCTAACATTTCACCCTGGCCAGGTATCAAGCCCAGGTGCTCTCGGTTGGAATACTCCAGTCAATACAATACATACTTGACCATAGCTCTATTAAAGCCTAAGTGTGATATTTTGTCTCCTAAATTAAGAGACTGCAAGACATAAGGGTATTGTTGGAACAGGTCAAGGCTTCCTTTGCAGCTACAGAAATCAGCACACCCAAGGCAGAATCTCTGCGTATCTACTGAAATGTAAATCACCTACAGTGCATTCAATAAACTGAAGTCAAATGCAGAATTTTCAGCAATGAAATTAAAATAAAAAATAAGTGAAGGGCCTGGTGCGTCCTTGGGCCAGAGCTTTACACTTCAGCAATGCCACAAAAGATTGCAACTTTTTGTTGTTTTATCCCCACTCCCAATTGATGAGATACCACCTGCGACTCGCAGAGAAGGCACACATACTGTTTCAAATTCATTGAGCTGGCTGCCGCAAGGCATATAAGGTTGGATAGGGCTGATAATTTCACATTTTCCCTTCCCTCAGTAAGAAGGTGTTTAGTTTCCGCTTGATGGCTTGCCAAAGCAGCACAGCTGAGCTCACTACTCAGCTGTTCAGAGGAATCGAACCAGCTCCAAAATGCCATCCCTGAGCAGTGAGAAACCTGGTTGTCTCATTCTTTCTTGCAGCTTTTAATCTTTGATTAATTTGCAAAATTTACAGCCTCTGGGAGAGCAACTTGATAGTGTGATGATTCGAAAATGCTGTTGTCTACAGCTTGAATAAATTTGGGAAGAAAGGAAAAAAATGCCTGGCCGTTCGAGTGTGTAAACCTATGGTTATTTAAAAATGAAAAGGAAATAATAATCACAATATAATAATCCTTGCATTTGATATAGTCACGTCATTGAGACGTCTCAAAGAGCTTCACAGGATATACTGTAAAGTGGATTGACTTTATATTTTGTGGGTGAAATACTGTTCTGGTCTAAAATGTAAATGGATTAAACAGAAGAGGTTGAAGATGACTGAGAATAAACAGTGATTTGGGATTCTGCAGCAAGCCTAAACATGTGATTGATGGATTAAATTTCAAACCTCGAAAACTCCTTTGGGGGTTCACAGAGTCTGGAAAGGAAGCTGTATATGCTTAGCCACATTTCACAATTTTTAGAGTAAAAGCTCTAATATTTCGGACTAATGTCCCAGTGTTCTTTAATAATGCATTTTAATGCATTTTCTGGAAAATTCAAACTATGATTGAATAACACTGTTTGACCATCAAAACAAGTGATCAAATAGTTTTATTCTATTGCTTCCCAGGTTGCAGCTGAAGCCTCCTCACAATACTACCATAGTGCCCATCAAATTACATCTACAAGCTAATTTTACAATTCTGGGAATCAGAGGAGTTTTTTTTTTAAAACGAATCACTCAACAATATCGGAAGCATTGCATCATCAGTATTTAGCACTTTCAGCACGTCCCCAAACAGAATGACTTGCAATTACATAGTGCCCTTCATGCAGAATAGTATCTCAGAACACTTAACAGTGGCCGAGCCTGATGCTGAGGGGAGAGGTGACCTCTAGCACAGTCTAACAGGAAGGTCTTCAGACGTTATCTGGAAATGGGGAAGGAAGGGCAAGGCGGGGTGAGGGAGAGTTCCAAAGTTTTGGGGCATAGTAGCTGAAAGCATGGTCACCGCTGGTGGAACGGAGGGTACGAGGGACAAGTAGGAGGCTGAAGCCAGCTGAGCAGAGGTGGTAGGTGATGAAGTAAGCAGGTCAGAGAGGTAGGGAGATGCCACGGCATGATGAATTTGTGGACGAGCGTGAGGATCTTGAAGTCAATCTGTTCTGTAATCGGTAGCCAGTGGAGCCTGGCATGACTGGTATGATGCAGTACAGAGTTTTGTGCGGGTGAGTAGAGGGTCAGTGGATTTTTAAATGAGTTGCATTTAGTGGATAGTGGAGCTGGGAAGACTGGTGAGGATATTGGAATAGTCGAGGCAAGAGGTGATGAAAGTAAATGTTACAGCAGGAATCATTGTTTTACCTTTCCCTGTTGAATTTAAGAGAATGGAGTATGGCAGGCCTTTTCTGACGCAGATTCCAGAGGTGTAAAGTATCATCTGCCAAGGCACTCACAAGGGCTCCCTGCAGGAGAGCAAACATAACATACATTACACCTTTTTCATTAAGTCCTTTCATAATAGAAATCCTACAAATTTTCATTTGTATTCAGATTGTTTCTAAATTCACGAATATTGTACACAATTTTCTGACTCGGGTACCAAAGTACTACCGGTTAGATCATAAAAAATAATTCTTGCATTTGATTTAGCATCATAAAGAACTTCACATGATATACTGTAAAGCTAAATTAACACTAATTATTTTGAAGAAACGCATCCTCTTTATCAAAGCAATCTGAAGATTGTAAGAATGTGGTTTCTTTAAGATGTCTGCTCAAGATTTTCCCATTCCTTGGTCAAATTTTCAAAGATGAGACATAGAAATAAACAATCTAACATCTTGGCATAACACAAAGTATAGTTTAGTCAAAATCAACTAAATGAAAAGGGCAGGCAAGGAGAAATTTTAAGTTTGTTGAAGTTGCTATACTTCCATTACAAGAACGGGGATGTCTTTACAGGTAATCAAATTTCTTCTTTCAAAATCAAATTAATACTCTGTGGTAGTTTTAGTTGTTCCATTCTTTAGCTAAGCAGGCCTGCAGTACTCCAAGGTACTGTTGATGATGGACCAGCCAGCCCAATTAGTTAGCAGACTTAGAGAAGCATATCAGTCACTGGGAGCAGGGATTCTTTCCACTTGGCTCTTTGCGTGGAGTCCTGTAGCTCAGTGGTTAGAGCACTCGCTTTGCAAGCGAGAGACCTGGGTTCAATTCCAGGCAGGGCAAAACCTTGGGCAAGTTTCCTTACGCCACACGCCTAATAATAATCCCTCCAAAAAAACATAACAATAATAAATTGGTCATTTTCAATCCACGACTGTCTGTGGGACATTACTGTGCGCAATTGGCTGCCGCGTTCGCCCACAAATATACAGTCAATTCACTTTACAGTATATTCTGTGAAGCGCTTTGGGACGTCTAGAAGACGTGAAAAGTGCTATATCAAATGCAAGGATTATTATTATTATTGCATTCCTGCAAGCCAAAGCCCTAATCGGATAGTGGTCCAGGCTGGACAAGCAGTGAGAAGTTTGCTAGACAAAGCTTATAATGGTAGCAAGCTTTTGCTCTTGCCAACCTGTACCTCATACTTTCTGTGAATAGGTGAATCCCTCCGGGGAAAGAGTGCACACTCCATGCAAGACACAAAAAATTCCATACATATACGAAACTCTGTCAGTCTTGAATACATTCATTATTAATAAAAAATATTTTCATTATTATTGGATACATTCATTCATTTTCATAGCGATACATTTCCATATGTCAAACACCTGGATGACCACAAAATAAAAATGTTAACATTCTCCGCACTCTGTATGCATCTAATCTGGTAAAGGAAGCGAAAAGGAATATGCCCACTACCTTACAAAATATTTGAAGACAGAACCTGTATGGCAAACTAGGCCCAATATCTGGTAAAAGCACAAAAACTCTTTTCAAAATCAATAGCTCAAGATGTAGAAGTAGATTCAGTGGATGAATCTATATATTATTCATCAGCTGGACCAATAGAAAAGTGCGGCCCCAATTTCTCCGTGGAATCCGCTATAAACAGCAGCCTGCACTATAAGACCGCTAAAAAATAAATTTCTGGTGCTCGAGCCTCTCGCTCTGTTTAGCCGATGCAACTGTGGGTAGAGTGGCTCCGGATACGCAGTACAGCGCAAGCGGGAAATGGGCTTCGCTCCACTCGGAAGGCCTGCTGTTGTGATTGTCTGTGTGCATCTCTCTATGTGTTTGTGAGTGTCTCTATGTGAGCGTCTCTATGTGAGTGTCTCTCTCCTCTGTATGCGTTTGTGAATGTCTGCCTCATCTATGTGTGTGTGCGTGCGTGTGTCTCTGAGTGCGTGCGTGTCGCTGAGTGCGTGCGTGTCGCTGAGTGCGTGCGTGTCGCTGAGTGCGTGCGTGTCGCTGAGTGCGTGCGTGTCGCTGAGTGCGTGCGTGTGTCTGAGTGCCTCTGTGTCTGAGTGCCTCTGTGTCTGAGTGCCTCTGTGTCTGAGTGTCTCTGTGTCTGAGTGTGTGTGTGTCTGTGTCTGAGTGTGTGTGTGTCTGAGTGTGTGTGTGTCTGAGTGTGTGTGTGTCTGAGCGTGTGTGTGTGTGTCTGAGCGTGTCTGAGTGTGTGTCTGAGCGTGTGTGTGTCTGAGCGTGTCTGAGTGTGTGTGTCTCTGTGTCCGAGTGTGTGTGTGTGTCTCTGTGTTTGAGAGTGTGTGTGTGTGTCTAAGTGTCTCTCTGTGTCCGTGTGCAGTGCTGGTCCCTGAGAGGCAGGAGGTAGTGAGCTCCTGTAAACCTGTAGTCAGGACACTGGTCGAGTGTCTGTTCTTTGGCGGATCTCCAGGACCTTCAGGCCTGCGCTGGTGTGTTCCCCTCCCAAATGGGCCACCCAGTTTTTGTTAAAGATGAAATTCATAAAATAAAATTGCAACAATCTAATCAAAATGTGTTTTTGTGGTCATTTAAGACATGATGCAGAGAGCAAAGATTTCAAAGGCTTCAGCAGACCTGGTGCGCTGTTGTGAGCAAGATGCCAAGAGCAACCCTCTGCTTATGGGTATTCCAGTCTCAGATAATCCCTTCAAGAACAAAAAGTCTTGATCATATTGTCGTTTGGAGATCTCATGCCTCTTTCACTGTTTTCCCACAGACCGAAGCCTGATGAAGTATTCTTAAACCCTCTTTGAGGCCTGAAATCGCACGTAGCCTTAGCCTGTGAAACCACAGTATTGAACATAGAAAGGTTGAACATTCTTTGATTCGGTCTTGGTTTGGAAGCTGCTTTTCCACAATTCGTACAAAAATGGCTTTGTAGTTTAAGAATTTTCCACAGTTCCTTGTGATCTTAAATAATAATTAATAATATGGTCACTCAATCCACGACTGTTTATGGGATTGTATACAATTGGCTGCCGCATTTTGCCTGCAAAATACAGTCAATCCACTTTACAGTATATTCTGTGAAGCACTTTGAGACATCTCGAAGATGTGATAAGGCACTATATCAAATGCAAGGATTATTATTATGTGTTATTTCCTCATGTTTAATTTTTATTACTAAAATAAAAAAATATAGGTTGCCAGTAAAGTGTACCTCAATAGCACCAACCACCCCCCGGAATTTTCCGCACAGCTTGCCAAATTTCCCCGTAATTTACGGCAAACATTTCTGCACTTTTCTATTGGCCCATCTCATCAGGTAGCAACAATACAGAAAGCCCCTTTACTGTATGAATAGACATCATTCTGTCCACAAAAGGCAGAACTCTCATTTGGCTTGGGCATGATGGAACTTCACATGAATTATGCAGAATGGACACAAAGATAAGACAGTAATTTCCTGCTGCAACATTTTATTCTGATACAATCTCTAAAAGTAATTTAGGATGAGTTAAGAACAATCCAGTCATCATACTAATTTAAATATCGCTGAGCGTCAACCAGCACCTGAAGCTTGCTGACTCATCTTACCAAGTATAGTCTTCTATGCAAGACATTTCAATTCCAAAGAAATGTAGAGCTTCAAAAGGAAATTACAGGAGATTATGGTCCCGAGGAGGAGCAAGGAGAAAATAAAGTGAATTATATCACCATTTTGTGAAACAGGAAATGATAATTCCTCAATAATTAATATTCCTTGCAAATTATAGTGTCTTTCACGTCAAGAGGACTGCTCAAACCACAGAACAGGATTTGTTGTTAAGTGTAGTGAGTGTTTTGTAGACAAACACAGCAACCAATGTGCACACAGCAATGTCCCACTGACAGCTATGAAGTGAATGAGCTATTTTAATCAAGGCGATTGATGGTGAGGACACCAGGAAAAACTTCCTCATCCTTTTGAGTAACTCCATGGGATCTTTAATGTCCACTCCAACAGGCAGACAGGGACTCAGTATAATGCCTCATCCAAAGGATGGCACTTCTAGCAATGCAGTACTCCCACTGTATTGCATGAAAAATGTCAACTTATACTCTGAGGTCAAAGTCCCAACACATGGGGCTTGAAGCAACAACTCAGAGGCAAGAGAGCTACCAATGGAGCAAGGTTTTTATTCAGAATTACGTGAACATTTGCTGCAATGAACTGGTATAAAAAAAGCACTTGGTAATGCTGAAGGTGCAGTCAAAGAGAAAAGTCTTGAGACACACCTTGGATGAGGCAAGGGAAGGGGCAACGTGAAGAGATTCCGAGATTGAGTTCCAGAGAGTGGGGCTGGCAATTACTACATGAATAGTATTAATTCTATATGAATAGTATTCATTGCAGGTCTATTGATCCAATAGTGGAGTGGTCAAAGAAAGAACTGACTCTCCAACTGAGACACGTTATTTCTGTGCATTTGTGAGACTCAATTGGCATGGTTCAAAAGAAACATTTCCCCTCCAAAAAAAATATTTATGCAAATTAATGAAAAACACTGTTTGTTATGAGCTTTTTATATTACTTTCTTAAGTTAACAAAATAAGTTATTAAACGAAGCCCACCATTTTTTGATAAATCTCAACAAACTACCTTCTTGCATTCCTTCATCCTAGTTTCACAACACAAAAGCTGTAATAATTTTTTTAAAAATCCACCAGCACTTGCTGTGACCTGGACATGCAGAAAGCCAATTCAATCAAAATAATCCACTCACCATTTTAGGCACATTTAAAGAAATAACCTACTTTTACTGTGTTAGAAACCAAATAAAACAACATGAACAAAGAGAATGCAAAAGGAAAATGCTGTGCATGTTTTCAATCTGCTACTCCCATATAAACACACATATACATGAATGTACATTCAAAACGAACTTACCTCATTCATCAAGAACTGAAGTTGAATCACTGGTGCACCACTATCATGCTGGCAATAGCACTCTACCCCTGGTCGCCCAAAGCTGAGTGTCCACTTGGTTAAGGAAACAGATTTCCTAGTTAGGCAAAATATATATAAATATTATATATATACACACACACACACACAGTAGAACCTCACTAAATGTGCCCACAATTGTGAGGCGGCTGAATTACCAAGGTGACCTCAAACCGGGTTTCTACTGTATATGCAGACTTGGGAATGATAACATGCAATAGGAAACAGTCTCCAACCAAAGGAATAATGAATCTGCACTTCAGAGAAAAAGTTGTTTTTAAAAAATCCACCACAAAAATTTCTTTTCAAAAAAGGCAGATGTAGGGCAGGTGAAAAGAGGACATTTTCACTGACACATACAAAACAGGCACCAATTAAGTCCAATGATGAATAACTATTCAAACCAACCTCAGAGAATTCAGTATTTGTTTTTTCAAGAGTGTTGTACCTGAAATATGTGGATTAAAAAACAGGTTAGTGGAGCCACTGAAAATCACCAAATTCTTTTCCAGGAAATTTCACAAAACACTGCATCTGTTTTTGTTCCACAGGTTACAGTGGTTGAGACTTTTAAAATAGCTCTTTTATGTACGCATTTCCAGTTTTCTTAATATTAAAGTTTCCTAAAAATGAACAAAAAAATCAGATATGATTCTCGTATTGAGAGAAATTATAGTTCTGAACGCTAGATTTCAATGGGGCTATCTTCAGTGGAAAAGAGAACAAACTGAGTGATGTGATTAGCAACTGTAAAGAAAATGCAAAACAGCTTATTTTCATGGTCTAATTTAAGTTAACAATTAGAAACGTGCATTCAGGAAAAAAAAATTCTGTCAGGATATTTAATATGCAAAAGGAATCAGTGAATGGCTCACAACAGCCATTGCTACAACAGCCATCCTTTCCTTGATGAGTCCTTTTGTCAAAAGGAAACAGAAGTATTTGATCCTAAATCTTGCCTGCAGGAGACTACGAACACATGCTCTGAATATTAGCTCCACTATCATCTATACCATACATGAAATGCAGAGATCTTAGCTGTGGGGCAAGTCTCATTTTATTTAAAAAACCTGCTTCAATAAGAATGATTCAAATAAATACTTGACTATCAGCAAGATTATTGGAGGGTAAACGCTCAGGAGTAATTATTACCATCCAAGATTTGATAAATAAGAGCTAGCAATTCCATAACATGAGCAGGTCAAGCCACTTGTATTTAACTCTCAGAAAGATTTGGTAAAAGAATATTGTAATTTATAATTCACAATACATGGCAAACACAGGATTAAAAAAAACAATCAAAAAACAGTTTGTGAACTTTTACAATTTTTAAGAGTCTGTAACCCATGCAACAAAAAATGTATGCAGTGCTTTGTGGAATTTTCTGGAAAAGAATTAGGTGATTTTCAGTGGCTCCACTGAAAATCCACTTTTCAATCCACGTATTTCTGGTACAACATTTTTGACGACTAAATACTAAATTCTGAAGTTGGTTTGGACAGTTATTCATCATTGGACTTGATCGGTGCCTGTTTTGTATGTGTCAGTGAAAATGTCTTCTTTTCCCCTATTCTACATCTTTCTTTGCTCATGCATAAAATAATACTCTATATGCAGTCAATGTGGTGGAGCTACCCGGTCTTCTTCAATGGAAAATATATGTATAAACAGACGTGAGTTTCTTTACATTGAGGCTTATATTTGCAATGAGCTCCAACTGGAAAAAATAGAAAAAAACTTTCTTGTGTTAAAGAAGTTGAAATGTGATGTAATTTGTCTTCCATCAGCTTCTTTTCTGGATTGCCTAGTCACCATCTTATATTTGTGTCACTTGGTTATGGACTCACCAATCAGTGTAAACAACTTATTGATGTTAACCTTATCGAACCCTTTTACAATTTTAAACACTCTGTTCGGTTCCTCAAACGTCTCTTCTCAAGTGAAAAACAACAACAACAAGATTCCATTTATAGAGCACCTTTCACGTCGGGAGGACGTCCCAAGGCACTGCACAGTTGGGTCAGGACCCGAGCAGGGGGGAAATGGTCAGGGTGAGGGGAGGGAAGGGAGGGGGTAGAGAGTCAAGAGGGGAGCTGAAGGCTCGGTCAAAGAGAAAGGTCTTGAGACCGGCCTTGAAGGAGGAAAGGGAGGAGGCGGCGAAGGCACTGGGGGATAGAGTTCCAGAGCCTCGGGGCTGAGAGGCTGAAGGCCCGGCCACCGATGGTAGGGCGGTTGGGGCGGGGGATGTGGAGCAGACCGGAGCCAGAGGAACGGAGGGTACGGGCAGGTAGGTAGGAGGATAGTAGGTCAGAGAGGTAGGAGGGAGCAAGGCTGTGAATGGCCTTGTAGGTGAGGATGAGGATCTTGAATTCGAGGTCCAGTCTATAACCTATCTAGTCTATCTTGATAGCAGTATCCTGCCAGCCCTGGTATCATCATAAACCTACACTTTAAAAGTTCCATCGCTGCTATAACCTTCCTTTCGTGGGGAGACCCGAATTGAGATTTTCGGTTTTGTTTTACTGTAGATCCGAGTTTGAAAATATTCGTCTAAATTAATTAAATCCTTTCTTCCTCTCTTCTTTTCCCCCATCACAGGACAGGCCTGCAGTATTACTCAAAGTCCCCTTCCTCATTTCATATGGTCTTATCTTTGCTGTGTGTAAATTGAGAAAGGAATTATAAAATGTGAAAATAATTGTATTCATCTGTGGTCCTTGTGGCAAAGGTGCTCCTATGATTGCGTTGGATAAGGAGTTCCAAGATTCTAACCCAGTGACAACCAAGGAATAGCAATACTGGCAAAGTGAGGCTGGTGAGCGACTTGGGACGGGAATTTGGAAGTGTTGGTGTTCCCATATCGTTGTTCCTGTTCTGGATGATGGAGATCACAGAGCTGGGAGGTGTGAGGTTGTCGAGTTGCTGCATTCTGTAGATAATAAGTAATGCAGCAACAGTACAATGATGAGAAGGAACCCATATTTATTTGATCCTACACAGCTCCTGTCTACCCACCTGTTCAGCGACTTCATCAACCTCTCCTCTGGTACAATATCTTCCCTTTCAAAACTGCTATCATTAATTCCCTTCCCCCTCTCAAAAGACATTCTTGAACCTCCAAACATTGCAGTTATCACCCTCAAGATGTTGAAACATAGTCACATCTTGGGTTAACTCCTTGCTCTCCCACCAATTCTCTTTCCTCTAACACACATTGCTCATTCCCTCTAACTTTCCATTTAAATACTTCCCCACTTACTTTCCTTTTCTAAAATAGTGTTAAAAACCACAAATTTTAAAAATAAATGTTCTAAATAAATACTTAATACATTTAATGATGATAAAAATAATAATCCTTGCATTTGATATAGCACCATTCACATCAGAAGAACTTTTCAAAGCATTGCACAAGATGCTGTAAAGTATAGTAACTGTATTCTGCAGGTAGCCCCCAAGTCGCCTCAAAATGAATGACTATTTTTATTTGTTGGCCAGAATAAAGAGAGTGAAACTCCCTTCTCCTTTTCTATTAGTGCCACGTGATCTTTAATGTCCTCCTGAACTGGCAGACGGAAACTCGGTTTAGCATCTCATCCAAAGGATGGGTTTAAATCCTACATATGTGACATATTTCAATCTTGAAACAATAGCTCTCAGGCTGCAAACAAATTAAATGCTTGACCCCTAACATCACTGTGGATTATTATGTATTGGTTTGAATGAGTACAAACAATAAATGAAATTGAAGTACTTGTTCAAAACAAAATTCATTAAAACATTGAAGAACTTGGATTTTAGAAACTTTCCAGATGTTCTACCCGCCAAATTAAAATTTCTATTATTCCGAACACTTTCAAAACAATCAAAGGAAAAATAATAGTGATTTAAAACGTGCATTTGTACCATCAAATGCATCTCAAAGCAGTTCATACAATGAGTTACTTTAAAGTGTAGTGCGATTATGTAGGCAAACATGACAACTAATCTGTGATAGCACCATCTCAGAGGTGAGATAAAGAAGCAATTAATTTATTTTTGAAAACAAAGGAATATTGGCCAGCACATTACTCTTCTTGAAAGTAGTATGAAGAGCTTGTGACTCAACATGTGTGTGAAAAGAGCTTGTGCCTCAATACTGTTTCACAACTTCCCTTTATAAAACCACATGAAAGGTATTTCCCCACAAAACCATCTTGGCGTTAAAGTCCATATGGTCAGGTTTTTGAATTCATTAAGTGATGGGGCAGCAAAATCCTAGTCAATAAACTGCAGTTCTAATCTACTTTACTATCAGAGCTGCTCCACTAGCCTCTGTCATATTCCAGTGCTTTTGGATGTTCCCGACATGAAAGGCGCTATACAAATGTAATCTTGTTGTTTTTGTTCTGTAATATTGCTCCAAAGACAAACAAATAGTCCTAAGCCAAACTTTTTTCAAAATATATATTCTAAATCTTTTACTACTTATTTGCATGCCTTTAAGGAAACTGCACATACTAACACCTAGCTGAGCAGGATGAGTACAAACCAACCCAGAAGAACAAGTTGCACTGGTAAGGCCCTTTACTTACGGTAATGTTTCAGAGCGCTTTAAGCAATGGTGGGGGGAGTGCCATAGGTGTATTCAAAGTAGGTTTTAAGGCAGAAATTAGAGGAGACAAGTCAGATGGGTAGTGGAAAGGAGTCCGGAGGTTTCAGAGTCTAGGAACTGAAGGCTAAATCACTGATGGTGGCATGGAGAGGGCACGGGACATGCAGTGAGCCTGAGTCAGGGGAGTGGAGAACCTGCATTATACCCTTCCAGCAATATAATGAAGTGGCAATGTGATTGACACTACTACAACAACAAGATTACATTTGTAAAGCGCTTTCACGTTGGGAGGATGTCCAAAGGCGCTGGACAGACCCGAACTGCGGTTGGAGGGGTAAGGGAGGGGAGGGGAAGAGGGTGGCCAATGGCATGGTCGAAGAGGAGGGTCTTGAGGCGGGACTTGAAGGAGGCTAAGGAGGGGGCTGAGGCTGAGT